TTAGGTTGTGTGTCGGAATGTGATAAGAGTGTGGCAGTGTGCAAGTGGTGACCACTAAATGATGGTTCTTACATTCAGCAATCCCCCATCCCATTTTGTTGAGGTGTCTGGCCACAAGATAAACTTCTTTTTTAGTATTACATACACATGGGACTGGACACAAGATAATTGATGAAGCATTTCATGGCCAGCCATAAGCCAATTATATGGATTGGTAAAAAAAATTTAGGGACTACACCTGTGTGAAAACGTATCATGCACCCCTACTTTCAATACTTGGCGCATCTGCATAAGATATTTACCGCAGTGGATACTTGTATGCTCTCAAATGCACATAAAAATGATTTGAACAGTTGAACTCGTCTCTGTAAATCTGCGTCCCATATCTAGAAACACAGGCCAGAACACAAGCCACTGCTTTGTACTAGAGCTAGTTGTGTCTTAATCAAGCCTGGCCCGTGAGGCCATGGCTATGTTAATCTTGTCCACAATTTTCGAATTTGAAAAATAAACTGCCTCCATCCCAAAACACTCTTCACACTTTCTTTTTTGGATTGTCCCAAAATAATTGTCATGCTTCTTTACACTTTTCCAATAGAATAAAAAATATGTGTGTGACATTAACTCCTCTCTTTCTTCAAAACATTCTACCATCCACTTTTAACTTTTCAACAATTTTCTTAAACACTGTGAAGTCAAACTATTACTAATATTTTGGGAATAAGAGAGTGTTAGTGTTTTATGGAAAATATAATCTAAATTCAATCAACAGCAACAACACAGTGGAACCTTACCACTGGGATCTGGGGAGGATAAATTCAACCAACAATTAGTCAATTTGTTTTATATGAATGGGGAATGACATCGGCATATGCAAAATTTTCAAGGGCAGAAAAGACAATTTCCTTTATCATCCCCAATCTCCCCAAACTATAACCTACTTATCTCACTATTCATCTTCTTCTCCATGGGGTAAATGAATTAGCATGAGACTTTTCACAGAAGCTTTATGTTTATTAGCTAAATAAACCTGATCCTGGTAAGATCTTACTCAGTTTGTTGTTGTTGCATTTATAGGTAAGCTCCCTAATATATTTCACAAGTATACTTGTGGGAAAAACTCCCATTTCAAAAATATGTAGTGTGCTAAAACTCCAAAAATATTTATACCTTAACTTCGTGCTTGAAGTCACCTCCTATCCTTTCAGGATTTAGCCTACAGAATTAAGATAGAGCCAAAAGTAGAAGCAGATAATGAGCTCACTTATCTGAAAGTTCGTGGGGGCGCAGCGGAAATTACCAATTAAGTGCTATGCAAACAAATCAATCAACTGTGCTGCAGAGAAGACGCTGCAGCACTGTCTAGTAACAGATGACGGACAATTTGCTATAACACTTCTCTGACACAAGCACTCACACAGAAGCAGATGACGCAGAGGGCGTTACAGCGCCTACTGGGCAGAAAGGTGTAACTATAAAATGCGTAAAAAATAACACTAGATATGTTTACGCAGTTCGGAGAAACTCTCCTAATCTGCGGGGCCCACGTCCGTGTAATAGCCCTCCACTAAATCACTAGATGCAAGTTACACCAGTACATAACAACATGATGAGACACTCTTCTTCGAATTGCTATGACAAAACTTCTAATCTAGGATTTCTAACCCAAACTCTGTTCAGATCCGCTTCGGCTATCACATCTCCACCGAGATCACGAGGACAAACGTGTTGGCGGCCCACTCGTTAAGCTCTGGTTCATCTCCTGGTTGTCACGATCTGTTTGGAGTCGAAGATCTCATTCTTGATGCAGATCGTAACTTTCTTCACGCTAGGGAAGCTCCGGGACGCGACGGGAATGCTCTACATCAGCGTATATTCTTTGTTTTCCCTCTCAATTGCTCCAAGTAATTCCCAGGGACCTGCTGCATTTTATAGGCCTCTCTTAACACAATCCTAGTAGGAATAGGATAGTAGAAGTTGGCTTGAACTCTACTTCCTTAATCTTGATCCACAAGTAGCATAAAGAGTTGGGATTCCTTAGCATGTACAGCTGGAGTTATTATTATGTAATCACAATCCCAATAGATCTCTAATTCAGATTGCAGCTTAAAATCCCGTGCTCAAACCTCTGATCCCGCACACTGTGTTGCAGCATCGTGCTGTAGCATCTTCTGTGTCAACCTCGAAAACAGCAGCAATTCTAGAAGTTTAAATAAAATAAACCTCTCCTAACAAATAGAGGTTTCTACCTAGTAAAACACCTAACAAATATGGGATTCTATTTTGCCAAAAGATTAGCCAACACCATGGAACCAACATTATCCATCTATAACACACACACCCTACAACAGAAAAAAGAAGGAAATCTCTGTCACGGACTACTATTTTTGTAACAATAGTGTCATTGCTAGTGTTGAACATAACGTGTACAGCACTGCTCTGGCCTTTAAATAAGTATGTCCTTGGCAAACCAAGTGCACAACCCACACAGATATTTTTACTTCGGTTGACTCTTTAAAATGCATACACACACACACAGGTCATTTATAATCCAGGTCCCAAATTCAATATGCAAACTCCAATAGCTAGGAAATATCATTAGTAACAGAACAATAAATCCAGAAGGATAGATATATTTAATATTTCCAATGTTAACATGTTTTAACCATCAGATAATTTAGTAGTTTGTATCAGACATATATTGACTCATAAAGTATTGTATAGTTCTAACTGGGTTATCTAATAGGAAATGTTGTTTTCCATCTATTTGCTTTCCCTTCAATAAGGTGACATACTGCTCTGTGCTAAAGTTGCTTTGAAAATCTTTTTCTGAATTAGAACTGAATCAAATTTGTCAGTACAACCAGCAGATATTATTAGGCCATGCAAATGAGATTGACTAATATGAGACAAAAAAAATCATCTTTTAAATTGAGAGGTTTACCCTGTTGGAACCAACATTAAATCTGTCCGCAGATCTTTCCAACTAGCCTGGAAAAAGTGACAAGCAAGTGCTCTAAAGTATAAACCTGAGATATGTTAAATTGTTAATCAAGGATTAGTATGTTTGTGAACCTACTTGTTTTGTTCCTCTGAAAGCAACAACTAATCTTTTCCGTGATTGATCTCGCCAAAGTGCAACCTGCAGATCTATATAGTCTGTGATTAGATGTCCATTCACCTCTAAACAAAGTTTTATACCAAAAGAAAAAGAGTCCCTACGCCTCATTTTGTTTGATCTTTCATTACTGTTTTACTATACCCCAAATTAATGTTTACTTCCCAAATTTGAACACCATCAGTTTTTTGTTTTTCTTTGAATCTATCCTACAAGATTTGGTGAGATCCAATTTTCTTTTCTTTTCAGAGGTAGATATGAAAATTGTTTTATTTAAAACCATGTCTAAGACAGACACATGATACACTCTTGGACAAAGGAAGCACTAATTTAGAATAACAAGAGAGTTGCCTGAGTGTCAGTAGATGAGTTATCTAAGAAGCATATCTTATCAAATTCAGATTTAATAAAAGTTGGGTGCCCCAAAGATGTGGCTAGCATTGCCCAAGCCTCCATAGCAGTTTCTGCTCTTGTAAAAAGTTCCCTCATTTCCTCGGCTTTCGTTTCATTTAAGATTGCTGCATCATGTATTGGGTATCCATGAACGTCACTTTTTATTTCAGGTGTTGAATCTTTTTTTGTGTTGCCGCTTCCAATAAGTTCTACCCCTTTGTTTGACTTGAAAACTGTTGTGTTTAGAACCATAAGAGCACCCAGAATGGAATCAGTCTGCTGTAGCAAATCTCTTGT